TTCGGATCGAGCCATCGCCCCGGGCGCCAATACCGTAGGGCTGTTTACGCAAAAAGGGAATATAGCCACCATAGCTGCAGGCAAACACTTACCGCCGGGATGGATGAGGAGATATGGACCAATTTCGAAATATCGCCCCAACTCTGCCTTTACGATGTAAACTCCTTTCCAATATTCTTTAATATTTTTCAAAAGACATTTGCACGAGTAATGGCCGAAGGGAATTGCTAATTGGAATTGCTAATAATAAAACATACCTATAATATAAATAGGGTCATATAATTGAAGGACTAGTTATGTTTTTTTTTATACAACTTAGAATGGCAAACAAGCTGACGGCCTATCTGATGGAAAGTGGTAACCGTCGCCTATAGACATGAGCAGTACCATGGACATAACAGAGTATACGGTTTCGCCCATGATACCCTCCATGCGTTGCCATTTCTAAGGACTTAGGTGTTATAACCCACCATATCCCACCCTTCAAACCAAAACACAGCCATGCAAACACAACTGATTTACGTTTGAAACACGAATGGGACAGAGGTACCCAAGCAATCGACTTTTGTACAGTCTCCCTCTGGTAAAACATCATCATCATATCAGCCTTTAACTGTCCACTGCTGAACATAAGCCTTACCTTAAGGGGTTTTGCCAGTAGTTTCCACGCTTGGCAGGCAGATTAGCTACCGCAGTTAGGCTTTAGAGATGTTTTTAAAGAGACTCTGCTGCCCATCCCTCGCCCTCCCTTAGTCGCCTCTTATGACACCCAAAGGAAAGGAAGGGCGTGAAAGAGAGGTAATATAGAAAGTGGTAGCTTTTAATGATTATAAACAGATATGAACAACTTTTTTTTTTTATACAACTTAAAATGGCAAACAAGCTGACAGCCCACCTGATGGAAAGTGGTAAAAGTACCCCCCATGCGTTGCCATTCCTGAGGACTCAGGTGTTATTCCTCTGTACCCTGTAAATTCACTGCCAAAAACCACCCTTCAAACCGAAACACAGCCATGCAAACACAACTGCTTCACGGTTGAAACACTAATGGGACAGAGGTATAGAAAGTGGTAGCTTTTAATGAATATAAATAGATATAAACAACATCAGGAATATCAAAAAATAGATTATGGTGCCCGCTGTAGCCATCATATTACATATGATAATTATTCTTGGAACCTTAGGGATAATAATTATGTACCCTGTTTGGTTTACATTATTAAATTATAACACATTATGTGCTCATATTATAATTTCTTCGAAAATACCAGTGTTAATAAACAATCTTAATTTAGTCTTAATTGCTGAATACATAAATATTTTAGATAAAATAAAAAAAAAATCAGAAAATCAGCTTTCACTTTGAGAACTCTGAAATGAACACGCTGTGGAATCAATTACCAGCAGTAGTATTTCCGAATCGAAACCTTCAAGAAAAGTAAATATTCCTTTTTAAAGAGTAGGCAGCACCCCTGCTGTTCCTCCGATTGCGGATTCTCACGGGCAGCAGTAGTGTTATGCAAGAAACAATCAGATGGCAATGCATGGGGGGTATCATGGGCGAAACAGTATACTCTGTTATGTCCATGGTGCTGCTCATGTCTATAGGCGACGGTTACCACTTTTCATCAGGTAGGCCGTCAGCTTGTTTGCCATTCTAAGTTGTATAAAAGAAGAGATACATACAAAGGAAGAAATCAGTTAATACCATTTTAAAGAAACAGCCCAATCAATAATACATACAAGACTCCTGAGCAGCTAGTCCTTACTATCTTTACGAATATTACAAATATGAAAATGAGTTTGTTTGTTTGTTACCTCAAAGCGCTTTAACGGCTTAACCAATAAGCCATTAAAGCGCTATCAATATACCCTATCAAGTCGACCTCCACGCGGCTCCCTCTGGAAACTGTCGAGACTAATTTGCCGTTGAATTCGTCATGATAGGTTAAGTGCCCTGCCTTTTCATCCTCACCTATTACCTTTCACTGGTGCCCCGACAGTGTATACCGATAGCACAGACGGGGTTACCATTTGGGCGGCGGTAGTCACTTACCATCAGGTGAGCCGCATGTTCGTTTGCCCCCTGTGTTGTAAAAAAAAAAACCATGTTATTTTCACCCATTAAAAAAACTGGGTACATACAATCTACTACTACTGCATATAGCCTATAAGACGAGATACTGGTATCGTATGAATGATGGCCATAATATAAGCAATTAAGAAAAGAAAATGTTTTGCAAAAAAAACGGCACCCATAGAAATAATTATCCAAAGGGAAATTACAGAGCATAATTATAAAAACCGCAACAATAAAAACTGTTACAATGAGAGCAAACCTCCATAAAGCGACGGGAGCCATCGCCTCCCTATTATCTGCGAGTGAAATAAGAAAAACTCAACGTTTCCGCATCAAAACGATTTCCTTGTTCTGACAAGTACAATTAGGGGTGAGCACTCCTCTATATCTTCATCTGAGGATGCAAATTTACGGACGTCCTGCCGAGAAATGACGCCAATTCGACTGAATATATTACGAGTAAATCAAGAATTATTCTCTCATAGAATTCGGGGATGTTCTACTTGCTTTGGCTTAAGCAAATAATACCTAAATAAATATCCACGTTTCGGAACATTCCGTGATTTAGTGTCTTACGGGTGTCATAATTTTATACAAGTTGTAAACCGTATTTGACAAATTACAGTAAATTATCAAGTAGTATATCGTAAAATCTTTATTGTGATACTGTTAGGGAAATAGAAAGTTGAAATTTGAATTATGGAAATGTTGTGAGAATGTACATTAAATGATACCGAAGGATATTTTGGATCTGGCTTTTTTAACCACTTAATGAAGAAAGCCTGTTACACACTAAACGATTGCTTGAATGACAAATGTGCATAGTGTTAGTCGATCATGCACAGGCTTTTAATGACCATGTAATTTCAGACATAATACATTTAAATAAACACACCAGAGGGAGACTTTGTACAAAAGTCGATTGCTTGGGTACCTCTGTCCCATTCGTATTTCTACCGTGAAGCAGTTGTGTTTGCATGACTGTGTTTCGGTTTGAAGGGTGGGATATGACGTGAATTTACAGGGTACAGAGGAATAACATCTGAGTCCTTAAAAATGGGGGGTATCATGGGTGAAACAGTATACTCTGTTATGTCCATGGTACTGCTCATGTCTATAGGCGACGGTTACCACTTTCCATCAGGTGGGCCTTCAGCTTGTTTGCCATTCTAAGTTGTATAAAAAAAACACACACATATTATGTTAATAGAGATTTGAAATAGTAACTTTTGAGTTTGTTGCGAGCTCTTTTCAACAAATAACAATTTTCCGAATCCAGCATTCATAAAAATTGACGATTTAAAAGTGCTTGTAAACAAGTCTATTTGAATAGAGATGAATTGAGTTTGAAAACGAATTTGAAAGTTAGTATTGAAGTAAATGTTATTTATTTATTTTTATTAAAAGAACCGTAACCGGGATATGATTACTGACTGGGGCAAAAAAGCCTATATATATTCTTTTCCATCCCATATATTACATTGCACCAAATGTTATAGTAATTAGTTTTTCTTTTATACAACTTAGAATGGCAAACCAGCTGACGGCCCACCTGATGGAAAGTGGTAACCGTCGCCTATTGACATGATCAGTACCATGTACATAACAGAGTATACTGTTTCGCCCATGATACCTCCCATGCGTTGCCATTCCTGAGGACTCAGGTGTTATTCCTCTGTACCCAGTAAATTCACGCCATATCCCACCCTTCAAACCGAAACACAGCCATGCGAACACAACTGCTTCACGGTTGAAACACGAGAGGTACCCAAGCAATCGACTTTTGTACAAAGTCTCCCTCTGGTAATTTATTTAAATTATTAAGGTGCTCTAAGATATTAAAAAAACATACTTTTATATTTAAAGTATTAGTAAGCATACAAAATCCTCAGCTTGCAGGTCCAACTCGAATTTGACTGGTGTTTTATACATAATGCACGCTTGCAAAACCCGACAGTTTTGTTGCCTCTAAAAATCTTATGTAAGCCGTTTTTAAAGTCAAACACTGTGCTGTAGTCTCAAAGAGATAACTTGCCAGGAACCTCAATATACAAACTAAACGTTTGTAGAAGAAAACTACTATGAAATCGCAGTATGTACATCTTCAGTGCGATTTCTCAGTTTCCTATATAGATAGAGAACAGTACGAAGGTAATCATGGGCATGATATAAAATTATTGTTCGAAACCCAGGATTTTATTTTTTTTGTGCACCTTAAAATGGCAAACAAGCTGATGGCCCACCTGATGGAAAGTGGTAACCGTCACCTATTGACATGAACAGTTCCATGGGGATTACAGACTATACTGTGTCGCCCATAATACCCTTCGTGCGTTGCCATTCCCGAGGACTAAGGTATTGTACCTTTGTAACCTGTAATTTCATTGACATATCGCACCAAACACTGCCATGAAAACACAGCTGTTTCACGGCAGAAACACGAATGGGACAGAGGTGCTCAAGTACATTTTTTTTATACCACTGAGGTGGCAAACATGCATACGGCCCACCTGATGGTAATCGGTTACCGTAGCCTATGAACGCCAGTAGTACCAGATGTATTACGCGCGCGTTGCCGACTCTGAAGAAACCTCTTTACCTCCCTTTTGAAGAACCCCATGCTGTAGTCTCTTGGGAAAACCTTGGCAGGGAGCTCATTCCATAACCTGAGTGTTCGTGGGAGAAAGCATCTCCGAAACCGCGTTGTAAGCGACCATTTAGGCTGTAGGGTATGAGGGTGAACTCCATGTCGATGGCGAGCCGTACGATGATAGAAAGTGGCCGTAGGCATCATATTGAATAATTCCTCTGAGCACAATCCGTTGTACAAGCGGTGGAACACGCAGAGTGAAGCAAAATCTCTCGTAAGACCCAAGTAGATAATTGTTCTAAATCATTAAAGGTTCTTGTCTGTTTACAGTGGTGTGGCAGGAGTGGCAAGTTCGCGTGACATCCACACAGGCCGAAGCCGGAGGGCCAGCCTTACTCACTTGCGTCGTGCCGGCGGCGATGCGAGAACATGCATCCGTCGCAGCCTGGTACAGGAACGACGCGGTACTGCCCGCAGCCGACCATCTGTGTATGTATTAAATGTGTTGTATGTTTCTATTACGTCTCCATATGTTTCTAAAAATGCACACAATTTTCATCGTGCCTCCGATCAAACAGTTTATAATTGCTCCTCTCCGTTCAAAGGTTACCTGGAAAAGACCCTTTTAATGATAAGACTCGCTATTGTTTTTTTTATACTACTGAGATGGCAAACAAGCATACGCCCCACCTGATGGTAAGTAAGTTTACTCAATGCACAGATAATATAATATTATATCTCAGTGTAATAATCTCTTGTAATTATTTCTATTTACAATAAATTTACTACAAGTACTATAACTGTTTGGAGAAAAAAAAATATAAAGTACCTATCTGTCTGTCTATGCTTCTGTCTTTTTAAGTGACTTAAAAAAAAAGGTTCTTAGTTAGGTTGTGTTTTTTTTTATGTTTACCTCGTAGCTCTGTCAGTTTTTTTTTTTTTTTTTTTTTTTTTTTTTTTTTTTTTTTTACAACACAGGGGGCAAACGAGCGTGCGGCTCACCTGATGGTAAGTTCTAAACTGATTTAAAAAATTCTCTTTTTTATCTGATAGGACATATTTACAGAATTTTCCTATAAAAATGTTATGAAAATCGGATCAATAGTTAAATATTTAGCCCAAAATAACTAGTTTTGTCACAATTAAAATAGATTTTTTGTGAGACACAATCGTTCATTACAGAATACTGAAGAATACTTAAATAGTTAAAGTCTCTTGAAAGAGTAACTTAGATTTTAACTTGAATGAAGTACATTTAGTATTTACATAATTATTTTATTTAAATCACATTACATTTGGAAACGCGTTTGATACCCTAAATAGTCATAAATTGCATCATTGTTTTTCTACAATAAAAAATATTATCATTAAAATCTATCGATAAATTAAATATAAATAAATTAAGCGAAAGTTCTAAAACCTGTTGATATTTGCTCAAGCAGGTTCAAATGAGCTTCAAACATCTTGATCAAGCACTTTTACAACGACAGAGTATACTCGTACATACTTGTTTGAAGTCGCTTGATTATCTACTGATCTCACAAGTCGTAAACTTTATCTTTTTATTACACCTCGACGTCAATCAGTTTTTCTTTTTTTTTTATATAACTTGAAATGGCAAACAAGCTGATGGCCCACCTGATGGAAAGTTGTAACCGTCGCATATGTCTATAGGCGACGGCTACCACTTTCCATCATTCATTTTGTATAAAAAAAATATAGACATGAGCAGTACCATGGACATAACAGAGTATACTGTTTGGGGGCGCAGCTTGGCAACTGCGCAAAAAGGATTTGATTTGGTTTAAGAGTTTCTCGGACAGGAATTAGTATTGATTTTAGTGTGCTTTTTTATACAACTTAGAATGGAAAACAAGCTGACGGCCCACCTGATGGAAAGTGGTAACCGTCGCCTATAGACATGAACAGTACCATAGATAACAGTGCATACTATTTTGTCCATGATACCCCCATGCTTTGCCATTCCTGAGGACTTAGGTATTATTTATTCCTCTGTACCTTGTAAATTCACTGCCATATCCTACCTTTCAAACCGAAACACAGCAACGCAAACACAACTGCTTCACTATAGAAACACGATTGGGACAAAGATGCCCAAGCAAACGACTTTTTAACAAAGTCTCCCTCTGATACTAGGGTTGAATAATAGAAAGCAATATCTATACACGTATTTTGATTTTAATATATAGATACTAGTCCAGTAACGAATATGTTGAAAGTCAGGTATCCAATGTTATTTTTTTATTATCAGATATCAGGACGGTCTCCATATTACTCATGCCTGTAATATTCATGTCATTCTGTTGTCACAGCGGGCTCCACACTGCTCGTGGGCGACGGATGGAAGCTGATAGTGCGCTCGGTGGGTGTGGAGGATGCGCGCGCGCAGTACTCGTGTTCTGTCCTCGACTCCCTGACGGGCGAGCGGCGGCAGAGCGTTCCAGTCAGCATCGATGCCACCCGTAAGTATATACAAGGTTTTTTTTTGATGGGTGTAAATGGTATGGTAACCCCGCCTGCGCTAACGGGATTCGCTGGCGGAGTACCAGTAAAGGGTGATAGATGAGAATGAAAACAGGCCAGTTAGCCCATCACGATGAATTCATCAGGAATTAACCATGATAGTTTCCAGGGAGAACCGCGAGGAGGTCGACCTGGTTGGGTATATTGCTAGCAATGGGATTCTCAGTCTCCATTGCTAATAATCCCCTATACAAGGTTTTTTAATGTATAATAATAGAATGGTAATCCCCCCTGCGCTAATGGTATATGCTGGCGGTGCATCAGTAAAGGATGATAGGTGAGAATGAAATGGCAGTTAGCCCATCGTGATGAATACTACTACCCACAGATGAAAAATGTTTCTTTTACGGGAAAAAATAGAATAATGGCCCAGACTGCGCTATTGGTATACGCTGGCGGAGCACCAGAGAGAGATGATAGGTGATGATGAAAGTAAATCAATTAGTTCATCGTGACGAATTCAAGAATCTGACACGATGGTATGTAGGGAGAACCGTGTAAAGATATACCTGACAGAATGCAATGTACTATGGGGTCTAAAAGGTGTGGCTCTTCTACAGCCAATTACTAACAGTCCCTATTCTCCTATGGAAAGTGATCACTTGTAGATATGAATATTACTATGGATATGCATTCGGTGGCAACCATGCTAACTGTAATAATCAGTGGGGGGAAAATTATACACTCAACCAGGTCGACCTCCATGCGGTCCTCTTTGGAAACTATTGTGGTTAATTTCTGATGAATTCGTCATGATGGGCTCAACTCTTCTATGATTCTTCACCAGTGCTTCGCAAGCGTATACTATTCCACTGTTATCTATTTAAAAAAAAATCTTATCGTCGTTAGCTATGATTTCGCAAAATGTCAAATATAAAAAATTCTAGATTAAATTGTATAAGATTTCTAGGTAGTATTACTCAACTTCCACTAGGGCCGTTCCTTATAGCAGTCTGTGGGAAAGCCAATGATCAACAGTGAGCAGATAATGGCTGAGATGATGATCATGAAGTTATCTAAATGTTGAATAAATGAATAAATGATTTATTTTTCTCTTCACAAAAGGTAGTAAAAGGTAGAGGTAGTATAAGCTTAAAGTACAACTAAATATATAAAACTAGTTGTGTGAGAGACTGGTGCCTGCAGTGGGTTTTGAAAAGAGCTGTACTGCAAGTCACCAGTACCCCATCACTGTGGACTACACAAATATAAGGCGACCAATCAATGTTACAGTAAAAAGATTTAAAGAAGAGACTAAAACTGAGAATAAATGGAACAATAAATTTATACAAATATTAATTAGGAAAAAATATTTACAAAGTACAGGAATGCTTCTAGCATTAAGTTCACCTTGTACACATACATATATAAATAGATAAATAGATGTGGGTGTGTATATATAAGAATATATATGAACTAAGTGAGATTATAATGTTGATAAATAAGAATAAACTTTGTCTTTATATTTTTCTGTACTGTAACATGTTTAATTCAATAAGGTGGTCAAACATGTTCAATGTGAAGTCAGAAACTATTGCAAGAAGTTATAATAGTTTTTACATAAATTACCGACCATTGTAGCTAGTCATATAGAATTATTATTGCCTCTAATAGTTTTAGTTTTATAACTTTTCCTTCCTTTCAGCTATGAGCGTGGCGTCGGCACCTCGCTCCATCGTACACGGCCAGTGGGAGGCGAGCGTGAGGCGCGGCGGAGACGTCGCGCTGCCTTGCTTGGTGCATGCTAGTCCGCCCGCTTCCATCACGTAAGTGTATTCATATTATATTTACATAAAATATATACTTATGCATTAAATTATTCATTACAATTAAATACTGTTAATAAATATTTACTGTTTATTGAAAACAATGCAAAAATTATCGTGCATATATCAGAAACAGGGTAAGTAAATGACAAGCTGTGTTTATAACAAACTACATACTTATATTACAACAAGCTGCTATTGTGACAAACTGCGTATATGACAAGCTGCTATTGTGACAAACTGCGTATATGCCAGGCTGCTATTGTGACAAACTGCGTATATGATAAGCTGCTATTATGACAAACTGCATATATGACAAGCTGCTATTATAACAAGCTGCATATATATGCATATGACATCTGTCATATGACAGACTGCTATTGTGACAAACTGCGTATATGACAAGCTGCTATTGTGACAAACTGCGTATACGACAAGCTGCTATCGTGACAAACTGCGTATATGACAAACTGCGTATAAAATGAAAACCTCCGTATACAACAATTTGCAATTATTACAAACTACAATTTTATGTGTAAATTGAGATGCTACTATTCTTATTTACTACTTAGAATAGTATAAAATAAAATAGAAATAATCCTTATTCAAATACACTTGTTTGCAAGCTTTTTTAAATCGTATTTTTTATAATTCTACCGCTGGCTTCGGGATGTTGTTATCTGCTGAGAAGAACCCCCATGAAACTCAACAGTTACTCTGTTCGAATTATTATATACAAAATAATTTTACATTTGCACGGGCACTGTAACTTTAATTAGCATTAAGTTCAATTTATATGTATTTTTAAAATTAGAATATTTATATAAAAAATAGTTTATATCACTTTAGGAATTTAATATGTTGCCAAGGAAACCTCTAGCTTTTATAAAAAAAAGTATGGTAATAAGAAGTACAACCTGAAAACATTATAAAAACTTCGATCGTGACTAGATTGCAGAAGTGAAATGAAGTTAGCATACATAATGGTTTGCTCTTTGCGTAGTTCCTTTCTAGGGGCTAAGTCAAACAAAACTAGATGGAAAATAGATTGTTACGACTAACAATTTTCTTTCTCTCGCCTCAAACTAGTGATCTTATGTCTATGTTAACTATACTTGATTTAATTTTAAACTCTCCGTGTGATATATACGGGTAAAAGGTTCAGTTTTTCGTTACAATTAGTCTCAAGGCTTATTTTATTTATTTATTTATTCTTTATTGGACATAACATTGTGTACAAATAGCGAGCTTAATGTCATATGGCATTCTCTACCAGTTAACCATTAGGTAAAAATAAAAAACGTATGAAGGGCAGATGTAGTGAAAAATATGTACCATAATTGTAGTAGCATACTGATATATATATATATATATATATATGTATATATAGATATAATACATTAACATTACTCTTAATATACATATATCTTAATATATATGTATCAAAACAACGAAAAGTAATATAGAGATACAATAACTATTGAGTAACTTGTAACTGGAACTAATTTTGTTGACTTTCCATTTTATGTGTTTATCAAAGATAAATTTGCATCTAGCTAGATTAATCTTTTTCAAAATTTTTAACATTTTTCTAAAATTTTAAGACATCAAAATAGGTACACTTAAGTTACTATGCAGGATAATAATATTACTCTTTCAAACATGTTAGTTTAAACTTTGATGAAATTTTTTAATGACATTGCTGAGAACAAGACTCAAGTACAACAAGTATATTTTATAGTGATCTTTTTAGAAAATGTCCTTTTAAAAGTTTTGAATTAAAGAGAATTACAAAGTCTCTTATGAAAAATTCTCTCCAAAACGTTCATAAAAACTTTATTATCAGAATGTAAGGAAGTGCAAGATAATAAATATATTGTCGAGTCTTATGTTGGTAATATTTTTAGCTGTGTGATAGTGGTGTATTCTCATCTATACCTTTTTTTTTTTTTTGATGGGTGAAAATGGTATGGTAACCCCGCCTGCGCTAACGGGATACGCTGGTGGAGCACCAGTAAAGTGTGATAGATGAGAATGAAAACAGGCCAGTTAGCCCGTCATGATGAATTCATCAGGAATTAACCATGACAGTTTCCAGGGAGAACCGCGAGGAGGTCGACCTAGTTGGATATATTGCTAGCAATGGGATTCTCAATCTCCATTACTAACAATCCCTTCCCCCCCATCTATTCCTTATTAACACCACAGTATAAAGTTACTTAGATATTTTTCTAATTCTCACTGCGCTAGTTCTCTTCAAAACAATTTTGTATTTGAATTCTGGAATCAAGTACAAGAGTATCTTTGAGGTATATATTATTAAGAACATTGCTGGAAATTTCTGAGTTTATTTATAGTTTTCAGTCCTTATTTACTACATAGTTAATTAGGTTTGTTCGTTCCATATAAAAAAAAAATTAACAATTTAACATGACCACAAGAAATTCTAGCAATACGAGTAATAAAATTGGAAAATAGTTTTCTTAATCATACTCTTATATTAACGTATAAACTCCTAATTTATTTTATATATTTATTTCTATGGCTAGTCTTTATGAGCATAGAACTAACAAACTGAAAAACTTTCTTCAAGGAACGCAGTTGGAAACTCACTAGTTTGTCAAGATGTTTGAAAGTTTACGTGGTTAATATTGCTGAGCGGATTTGAATAAAATTTCGTTAGACAGTTGGACCATGCTCTAAATAAATTGAGGTTCTTCAAGGGCGAAAAAAGGTCGGCAAACCTGCGCTGACAACCCTGGTGTTCCAGGCGTCCATAGGCTACGGTAATTCCGTATACCATCAAACGGGCTATATGCTTGTTTGCCACCACAGTAGTATAAAAAAAAAGTATTTTTATTCTAATATATAATATATAAATAATATTTTCTTTTATACAACTTAGAATGGCAAACAAACCGTCGCCTATAGACATGGGCAGTACCATGCACATAACAGAGTATACTGTTTCGCCCATGATACCCCCCATGCGTTACCATCCCCGAAGACTCAGGTGTTATTCCTCTGTACCCAGTAAATTCACGCCATATCCCACCCTTCAAACCGAAACACAGCCATGCAAACAAAACTGCTTCACGGTTGAAACACGAATGGGACAGAGGTACCCAAGCAATCGATTTTTGTACAAAGTCTCCCTATTATACGAGTATATATTATCATACATACTATCCAGTATGAAAAATAAATTTTGGATTTATCCAAAGTTTAAAACTAACTGATGTAAAGATAGGTTATATTATTATTATTATTATATTATTTAACTCTTTATTGCACCATAAACAAAAATATATAATGACAATTGAATAATTCAAGTAAAATACAGATTGAAATATACATATATATATATATACGCAATTAAAGATATACGCAATTATAGTATTTTTTTTTACTATAAAAAAAAATCTATTATTTCTTTCTCCGTCATCTTCTCATATAGACGGAATACGATTCCCGCAAATGAAAATTCTGAAAACGTACCTTTGTGTTTCATTGAAAACGTAAGACGTGGAACATGACATGCGAGATATCGCCATAGACTTGGAGTGATATATGGCTTACGAAATTGTCACGACGTCGCAAAATTAAATGCCAATGTACAGTATTATTGAAAGAAAAAAAAAAAGATATATTTTTCAACCAAGAATTTTACTTGTGTGACATATCGATTCGAAAGGTAGTAGATAGATTGATAGATAATTTATTTACATTACTTACAGCACACAAATTACAATAAAAAAAACATACACATAATACACAGTAAAAGAGATAAAAGAATGAAAATCAAAAAGCCCAAAATAAAAGAAAAAAACAAAATATATAAACTAACAATCTCCTTTCTTTCACTTGCTTCATGCGTGTGCCATAGTTACAAGTAATTAAGAAGGATTTTTTTATGCAACATACAATAGTAAACAAACTTACGGTTTACCTATTAAGTGTATATAATCAAAATTCAAAATTCAAAAATCATTTATTCATGTAGGACATTTTAGCCGCTTATGAACGTCAAATTTTTACATTGTAATTTTATTTTTTTCCCTACCGTCCAGTTCGGTATATAGATCCAATTGAGAAGAACTGGCAAGAAACTCAATTGAATTACTTTTTTTTTTAAAGCCAGTATATTTACAATGTATATTTATATAGGTGTCTATGTCTAACATTAAATGAAAATTCAGTGCATGAACAACTATTGCCATGCACACTCCTCATTCAAGTAATCGTTTAGTGAGTAATAGGCTTTGCTCAGTAAATATGATTTAACAGATGGTTTGAATTTATTTAAGGGTAATTCCAACATATCCTTTGGTATCTTATTGTAAATTTTTATACCTATTCCCATAAAAGACCTGTTAACTTTTTCTAAACGATACTTGGGGACAGCAAGTTTGTCTTTAAATCTAGTATTAATATTATGAATATTGCTGTTTTTTGGAAATCACTTAAAGGCATCACAGAATATACTATGACGCCCGTGGTTTGTTTCTTTTGTGTTATTATTGTTAAAGGCTATACTTTTATACTTCCATTCTTTATTATTTCCCTGATATATCCTTTCAAAACGGGAACTTAATAGTATAGGAATGGGAAGCAGCGTCTCTCTTAAAGCATCACGAAAAGCCAAACTGCATTTGCCAACGCCTGCCAAGCGTCGCCATACTTGGCAGGCGAGTTGGCAACCGCAGTTTGGCTATTGGTGATGTTTTAAGATGGACATTGCTGTCTATGCCTCATAACATATCAATTCTCAGAAATAGTAACGCATGAAGTATACAATAAGCGACACAGTATACTCTGTTGTAACCATGGCACTGTTCATGTTTATAGGCGACCGATACCACTTTCCATCAGGCGGACCCTCCGATCGATCGTTGCATAAAAAAATACTCAAATATTTGCATACAAAAATGATCTCTAATCATAGTGAATAACTCAAGTTTGTACAATATAAGGATAGAGCGCAATGCGCAAGTGTAATG